AATGCACACGGGGAAGCTCTGAAAATAAATACTCCGACGTCGCCAATAACTTCATTTCTAGTCAGAAAGTCGGGACCCGTTTCTAAACTTGCCGCTGAAGTAAATATTGAAATAGAATCTTTTATTGTAAAAATCGTCTGAAATACAGAAATATATACCTTGATACTACCAATACACCTGAATGGGAATTTACAAGAAAAACTTGAGAAAAGGTGAGTGAAAATAACTTTCGAATTATCCATTTATCGCCCACAAGAAAGTTGCCGAAAAATCAAGTTTGTGTCAGATATCCATGCATACTTTAACAGTTTATGTTGGGGTCGATTAACGGATGATTAATCGATTAATATGTTTCGTTGATCGATTAAATATTGTGCCATCGGTGCACACCTCTAGTTCTTAGTATGAAAATCTAAAACTGACTAATTTTTGGGCATTCTTGGTAAATTTTAAGGTGGCCGTTTTGGATTTTCCATCCTCAAATTGTGTCGGTAAAGTCTTGTCTACTCATTTTTAGGATAACCATTTGATGGGATCGCCCATAGGTGGGGACATTTTGTACACATTTGTGTTCTTGTCTCTATATTGTCTTAAAAACTTCTTTTGTTGGTATCATATATCATATGGTATCATGTTGTATAAAATATATATAAATAATTTTCGCATTTAATTCTGAGATATGTCAGTATCTTCATGGGCTTGTTTATTTACTTATGCTAATGTACTGATATGATGGCTATGTGACATATTAATCAGGTCACTCCAGTTTAGCAATCAGTCAGTCTCTTAGCAGCTTACATGTAGCATTAGGCAGTAATATGCGCTAGCTTTTTCTCCCACCCTCCCTCCACTTGGGTCTTAGTTGCATTTGAGGGTTATTTTATTTTACCGTTTTTCTCTTTTTAATTTGATAGTTAACTTAGGTTTTAGTTTAGTTTGTGTTATGTACTTTAGGTGCATAGTGAAGGTGTTGTTTTTAGGTTTTAATTATGTAGGGTTATGTAATGTTGTGTAATGTTATGTTATATTATGTAATGGTATATTTTTTTATGATGCAATACATTTCTAAGACTCCAAACACTCTGGTTTATTTGTTTATATTATTTAATTGTTGGTTTAAGAGAAAAACATTGTTGAATTCAATTCACCACATCGATAAATCCTATAAAATTTAAAAAATAAAATTTTCTTGAAATTAACTAATAAATTCTCCATCTAAAATGTCACTCGACTTTTTATGTCACCACCAAAAGTGGTGACATATTGTTATGGTCTCCGTTTTTTTTTTATGTCACCACCAAAAGTGGTGACATATTGTTATGGTCTCCGTTTTTTTCGACGGCGTCCGGCGGTTGGCGTCCGGCGGTTGGCGTCCGGCGTCTGTAACAATTTCTTACAACTTCCTATAACTTAACAAATACTGTTTAGACTGACTTCAATTTTTTTCTAAATCATCTACATGTTCTCAGAAGTTCAAATCTGACTTTAGATTTGACATTTGACCTTCAATGACCTTCTCAAGGTCAAAAAGGTCTTTTTTCAACTTGCTTCACATTGACTAAATTTTTTTTCAAAATCATCTACATGTTCTCAGAAATTCAAATCTGACTTTAGATTTGACATTTGACCTTCAAATCTGACTTTAGATTTGACATTTGACCTTCAATGACCTTCTCAAGGTCAAAAAAGGTAAAAAAGGTCTGTTTTCAACTTGCTTCGAATTGACTAAATTTTTTTTTCAAAATCATCTACGTGTTCTCAGAAATTCAAATCTGACTTAAGATTTGACTTAAGATTTGACATTTGACCTTCAATGACCTTGTCAAGGTCAAAAAAGGTCAAAAAGGTCTGTTTTCAACTTGCTTCAAATTGACTAAAAAAAAAAATTTCAAAATCATCTATGTGTTCTCAGAAATTCAAATCTGACTTTAGATTTGACTTAAGATTTGACATTTGACCTTCAATGACCTTCTCAAAGTCAAAAAAGGTCAAAAAGGTCTTTTTTCAACTTGCTTCAATTTGACTAAAATTTTTTTTCAAAATCATCTACATGTTCTCAGAAATTCAAATTTGACTTTAGATTTGACATTTGACCTTCAGTGACCTTCTCAAGGTCAAAAAAGGTCAAAAAGGTCTGTTTTCAACTTGCTTCAAATTGACTAAATTTTTTTTTCAAAATCATCTACGTGTTCTCAGAAATTCAAATCTGACTTAAGATTTGACATTTGACCTTCAATGACCTTCTCAAGGTCAAAAAAGGTCAAAAAGGTCTGTTTTCAACTTGCTTCAAATTGACTAAAAAAAATTTTCAAAATCATCTACGTGTTCTCAGAAATTCAAATCTGACTTTAGATTTGACTTAAGATTTGACATTTGACCTTCAATGACCTTCTCAAAGTCAAAAAAGGTCAAAAAGGTCTTTTTTCAACTTGCTTCAAATTGACTAAATTTTTTTTTCAAAATCATCTACATGTTCTCAGAAATTCAAATCTGACTTTAGATTTGACATTTGACCTTCAATGACCTTCTCAATGTCAAAAAAGGTCAAAAAGGTATTTTTTCATCTTGCTTCAAATTTACTAATTTTTTTTTCAAAATCATCTACATGTTCTCAGAAATTCAAATATGACTTAAGATTTGACATTTGACCTTCAATGACCTTCTCAAAGTCAAAAAAGGTCATAAAGGTCTTTTTTCAACTTGCTTCAAATTCACTAATTTTTTTTTTCAAAATCATCTACATGTTCTCAGAAATTCAAATCTGACTTTAGATTTGACATTTGACCTTCAATGACCTTCTCAATGTCAAAAAAGGTCAAAAGGGTATTTTTTCATCTTGCTTCAAATTGACTAAATTTTTTTTCAAAATCATCTACATGTTCTCAGAAATTCAAATATGACTTTAGATTTGACTTTAGATTTGACATTTGACCTTCAATGACCTTCTCAAGGTCTAAAAAGGTCAAAAAGGTATTTTTTCAACTTGCTTCAAATTGACTAATTTTTTTTTTCAAAATCATCTACATGTTCTCAGAAATTCAAATCTGACTTTAGATTTGACATTTGACCTTTAATGACCTTCTCAAGGTCAAAAAAGGTCAAAAAGGTCTGTTTTCAACTTGCTTCAAATTGACCAAATTTTTTTTTCAAAATTATCTACATCTTTTCAGAAGTTCAAATTTGACTTTACAAGTTCTCAGAAATTCAAATCTGACTTAATATTGTGAGCAACTAGGTGGTGACATTTTGTCATGTTAATGCCTTGTTTGTGATTATGAGTCAAAGAAAGCATTCTTGAGTTTCAAATTGACTTCTGTGGTAACTTGAAACCATCATCTAATTTATTCCACTTACCTTTTATTGTTTCTCCAAATATATTCTTTGAAAATCGGATTTTAAGGGTGTTAATCAGGGTAATTCTGTGCCACTTTATCAAAAATCTTGTTACTATCTAGAAACGAGCAATTGTGATCTTGTTGTTACCTAGGAACGAGCAACTGTGATGTCACGTCACACTCATGTTAATTCTGGAATCACATGGCAGCCATTTTGGAAATTTCAAAAAAGTTCCCAATTAAAAAGGCTAAATGCTGTTTACAAATTGGAAACTATGGCAGAATCAACAAAGGGTTTGTGAAATAATTAGGATATGGTTTCAAAATTATGCACATAACAATATATGACTACTAAATGCAGGCAGGGACTTTTAATTGCAAAAAAGTCGAGTGACATTTTAGGTGGAGAAATTCTTAAGCTACTAAACTATCTGGTGTGCAGGAATGTTGTTTGATTGTGCAGGTCCTATTAATCCCCTGTTCTGTCAACATAATCTTAAATCAAGTATAAAATTAGTGAAAATTAAACTGGAACATTTTAATAGAGTTATATAGATATTCACTTTCTCAGTTGTTAAACTTCAGGACTCTAGGTTTATAACTCTTATTAGAGTAAATGAAACAATTCTCTGAGCATATATACATTATTTGTATTTTTATTATTCTGGCAGTGTCTTACAAATAATGCTAATCCACTGGTTTTATCAAAATATTTATACAGTGTGTCCCAAAAAAAAGGAAACCGGCAATAGATTGCTTATTTCTCAAATATGAATAATGATAGGAAAATTTCACAGCTACCATCTGATAGATTATGATGTCCTCTTTCTCATGATATCAAAGTTGTCTATTTTCCTTCACGGATGACTGAGTTATAAGGGATTTAAGTGACCATGTCAGAAATGAGTTTGTACCACTTTCAGCCAAGTCAATTTCACCATCATAACAAAGTGATAAGTAACAACAAACATCAGGATATCACTCTTTTACTCATTTATTCCAATTAAAATTACACATATCATATTTAACACCCCTTTTAAATCCCAATGTCCATTCAAAGTTGTTTTAACCCCAATGTCCTTCAACATGACCCCCATTCCTTTCAATGCAAATGTCTGCCCTTGATCTCATCGCACGTACGGCATCCCCGATGATGTCTCTCTGTCCCCTTAAATCCTCCACTGCTGCGACAATCCTGGCCCTTAGATCATCAACGTCTCTTGGTGGTGTTGTGAATACTTTACCCTTGAGATAACCCCAAAGGAAGAAGTCGCAGGGTGTCAGGTCTGGGGATCTGTCTTGCATAGCCATTTTAATCCCTCATTGTTCAGCCATTCATGACAGAAAAAGTGGCACAAACCAATTTCTGACATGGTCACTTAAATCCCTTATAACTCAGTCATCCGTGAAGAAAAATAAACACCTTTTGTATCATAAGAAAAAGGACATCATAACCTATCAGATGGTAGCTGTGAAATTTTCCTATTATTATTCATATTTGAGAAATAAGCAATCTATTGCCGGTTTCCTTTTTTTTGGGACACACTGTATTTACATTTATTTATAATATTAGCATTAAGAACCTTCACATGTACACAACATAACAATTAATAATATGCTGAACAAATATATACATGCAGTTTTCAGTGTAGACTACAATAAAGTGTCTGAACTTCTGAAATCTTGTCAATCCATTACACAAATTGATGCCCATTCAAGGACAAATCCCTTTTTAAAATACTTTCTTGATGTTTGTTTAACCACTTTGTGTCTTCTTCCACAGAGACTGATTAGCAGATTTTATTAAATGATTCACATATGCAGAACATTTCACAAAATCAAACATTATTCTTCATATTAGATTCATGCATTACATTTGTAGAAACTGCAGTGTAAACAATAGGTGATTTTTGATAGTCATACAATTAATTGAATTACATGATTTATTGGTCATGCTATATTTCTCAATTTACTGAAACCAAAATTCCTATTTTAACATGCTTTTGCAGACTGGTAGAATAAATATAATTGATGTTATACTGCTTGACCAAACTTAACAACAAATAGTTTGAACAGACTTGCACATGTTTTGGACTTAATCCTGAGATCATATAATGAAAAAAGTAGAAGTAGTGGCCTAAATTGGAATCTGCATCAGAAAAGGAGAAATTTTGTATAAGGAGCAATATATATTTTAATATATTATTACATCAATTATAAATTAATTCCGATTCAAAGAGTAAGACATAAAAATAAAACATGTGTTTATAACTACATTATTTATGTACATTTACTTTGATGTCGTCAGGTGATATTTCTGGCTGTCCACATTGTTCATATTCTTTGCCATCTTTTGTCTTTTCTACTGATTCCTCAATTTACTATATTCTACACTGCAGTTTCAGCCATATGTCATACATCTTGAATAGTTTCTAGATCCCCACTTTGGAGAGATTTTGAAAGTGGTCGGTACTCTGTATGGTCATCGAGGGATGGATCACTTTCCGCCCTATTAGCTATCTCGTTATATGTAGTTGATCTGCTATGTGATTGGCTCTGAGTGCCGTCATACCTCCGTCTATCACGCGTGATGCTTGTCATGGAAGCCTCAGGTTCCGGTTTGAACATAGAGATGTTGTGACAACAGTCTGTTTTAATATAGAATATGAATATGATCGGAGAGACAGCTGAGTTGCTCCATGCTAGTATTGTCAGCCATTTATAAGCAAGTACACTAGCATTGAAATTTTTATCAATTAAAGTTAGCAAGAAGAGTGGATACCAGAATCCAACAAACAGTCCTGTAACGATCATTAAATGTACAAGTTTTTTCATACTTATTTTTTCTACATTTTCAATGTGGTGTCTCTCTAATCCACTACTGTCCCTTCGGCTAGCATCATGTCTATTTGGATCAATGGACATGGTTGCCCTTATAAGGGTGAGGAATCTGTAGTAGGAGCTACGACTAATATCCACATATAGAACTCTGAGATATATTATCGTTAACGCTAACCCAATACTGATTAAGATGATCCAAAGGACATGTAGGACATAGTTTCGTGTTATTCCATACTTGAACACGCAGTTTGCAACACCTATATCATAACTGGTGTTGCCTGGAATGAAAGCAATCCCAAGATTTAGAATGAGGCTGGTGAACCAAATAATGAAGATCCCGAATATGACACAGCAGTAGTTTCTTGATTCCCGGATCCCAAGATTGAGGTCTGAAAATTGGTATGCTTCATTCATGACCATCGCTAGTAAATTGAAAGAGGATGTCGTAATGAAGACAATATAGGATCCTCCAAGTAGGTTGCAATATGTTGGTGGTTCTTTTGTCATCAGACTGAATGCAAATGGCAGACAATATCCAGATTTTATAAGATCAATGATACTGTGGTGGAACAAGAAAGCATTAGATGCACGTCTGAGATTTGCAACGAGAAGAATAAGTGCAAGAACGATAAAGTTTCCAATTAATCCAATAGCTGATATGATGATTAAGACAGCTGCTTCAGCAGTTCGTTCATCATCACTAACCGAGTCTTCAATACGATATGTCTTATTCCCAGTGTATTTCAACATTGTTACTCTGTCTGTGCTCACCAAATGTTAGATTGGAGATTGTTCAGCTCGTTCACGTTGTCATATTCAGTTTTAATGGTATAGTTGTATAGAAGTGACATCTATAGACACATAGCTATCTGTATGTGTATATCTGTCCAGAAAGATGGTGTCAGGTGATGTGTTGATATATCCCTGAATCAGCTGGATATTGTATTGTCATCTACTGTTTCTTGTTACTTTATCTTTTGCCTATAAAACATGAGGGAAACATGTTAGAATCTTATTGTTTCACGATTTTCTGACGTTTGGACATCACCCTTTATTATTATACTAGCCATAGAAGCTGACAATATATGCAAAACATGGAATGATGTTAACACATAAAGCTTGGATTTTACAATACTATAGCAGGGGTCTCATTAGGCTTTTAGACTCTGGAGATTTTAGGAGTCTAATGTCTTTAAATTCTCTTGGTCCAGTCTAATACCTTTTCCGGAGTCTAAAGTATTTTTTCCAAAGTCTAATTTTACATTTTTGTCACATTATTTGTGGTAAAACTCTTGAGAAAATGCAAAGAACTGGATACAAACAGGGAATAGGAAGTCAGAAACCTTTTAGAAATGTATATTGTGATTAAAATAGGAAGATAATCTTAAGTAGTATTTTGAAAAGTATACTTATAGGATATCTCTGACTGATCTCACACGGGGGGGGGGGGGAGTAGTTGCTATATGGCGAGGAATCCAGGGTCTAAAAATTTCCTGGTGAGAACCCTGTATTGGCCATTATATGCTTTTTGATTTTATCATGATATTATAAGGCAGTATTAAAGACAAACTATAAGTACAAAACTACTGCTATTGAAATCTGGTTTGGATACTTCAATGAATTATCATATTTGCTTGGTTGATTTATATCTGCCAGTTGCAGCTAGTCTTTTCTGCCCTCGCATAAATTGTCATCTCTCCAACCATTTTACTTCCTCTTGCTTATGAATGAAATAGTTGAATTCTTTCAGTGAACTTTGGATGTTGATTCCTTATATCATATTCTAATATCAGATTCTGTACTTGTAAACAAATCTCAACATTTATAGTCTGAAAGTATGTAATAAATTGTGAACATAGTGCTTTTTATTTACAGGCTGTAAACTCATTAGATTATTAACTTAAGTAATGGAAGTCCTAAGTTAACACTCTGTTACAAAAATGAAGTAGAACTTATCAACCTTCCTCTATTTGAGAAATGATTTAATGGACATGATACAATGTATGTAATACTGATTCAAAATATTTTTAATAGGCTAGATGCAAGTACTGTAGAAACAATCTTGATTTTCGTCATTAAATATTCAAAATTTAGTCAAAGTGATATCACATTTAAAGTGTACATGTAAAATTACTACAGATTTCCCAAAATCGCCTAATTAAGTCAAATACAGTAATTATCAGACACATAAGGGTTAAATGAAAATTGATCCGCTTAAATGAATGAATATTCAATTTTAAGGGAACTTTCTAGTATATCTGCCATGTTATCTGACCCGGATTAGCCACCTGGTGGTAAAACTGGTAACTACCTACTCGTATCTAGGTTATTGATATGGACTTTGAACTCCCATAGAAAGTAAATTGAAAATGTGAGGATAGTAAAATTCTATTTCTAACTTGCCATGTAAATGCTGCTTACAAGGTGAACAATTCCAAACAATATGTGGTGATGTTTTGTCATACCTTGTTATAATTGCATTATCATGTGGTTTGTCTAATTGTTTTAAGGTCTCGTGATACTTAACAGGAAGTGAAAAAGACATGCTGGATTTCAAACATTTTTTGAACCAAGATATCAGAGTTTTGTTTGGACCTCCAGTCAGTTAAACTAGTTCCACATATCATTTACATGACCAGGATCACAATGTCAGAATGACCCTAAACATGATGAAATAACCTTTTTCAGTTCTCTGAAAATGTGACTGAAAAATAGCTAAAAGTATGAGCTTTGGAAAGGCCACTGAACAGAATCTTTTGAATTTTCAGAAAATGTGCCCAATATATTGCTCTAAATTTTAGAAAATTGTCTGAAACAAACAAGGAAAATAGATCACTTTTCAATTCAGTTTTTAAATTTTTTTTCTTTTTCTACGAATGATATCAAATTTTCAAAGATTGTATCATCCAGGTCATTTCCTGTGTAGTATCATGGGACCTTAAGTGTGCATGGATCTTTCAAATAGTACCTCTTCCAATTTCTGTCTTTATGTTAGAAATATTGTTATGGGTGCAATTTTGAGGAATTGAGATATAGTAGAAGCAAGACTACTGGGAGTCTGTGCTCAAAGATACCAGTTTAATTAAATCATTCTGCGACAGCAATCAGCAATTACAGAGAAACAACTCACCAGGGACAGTCTGCAAAAAATACAGAACAGTATTTACAGTTTTATTACCTTGATTAAAATTATGTGTTACATGAAAAATAATTTCTTTTTCTGGTATTTGAAAATTTAATTGTTTTATTTTAAATCTAGTTCAAACAGAAGAATATGATGATGATTATAATTAATACATTGCACATATAAATCTACCAAGCAAGTAGAGTACACATAAACCTTGGTGTTCAGAATCAGAATTCTGAAAATAGATTTAAATGAAATTGAGAATCCTCCATTGTGTCATTGCCTACATTACTACATTACATTAGAATGCCTAATGATAAGAAAGTTATACAATCATTTGCCGGACATACGAACCTGTAATATTATAAATTAAGTGCAAAAGGACTTCTTATATTACTGTATAATTTCTAATATTAAGTTTTGAACGATATCTTAAATTTCAAGATCATCATCACTGTCCTGCTGGTCACTAATGCCAATGTCATTTCACTCCAAATCAGAACCAGGGTCATAGTCACTATGATTATTGTTCAGTATTTGAGATTTGTCAGATTTTTAGAAAAATGACCACATATTAAGACGGAGGCTTAAAAATTCACTCAAGTTGACATGGTTGCAAAAACTTCAGAAATTTGGCACATGGCAAGACATTGCACTTAATATTTTAAATGTAAACTCAAAACGTGAACTCTTTGCATATGATTCAAAATCCTTAAAGAAAATAGAAGAAAATATTTCAAATAAATTCTGGAAAGATCTTGTTTACACTTTTAGAATATACACTGAACAAAAAGAGAAAGAGACAAAGAATGATTCTAAATTGAGTGCTGATCTTGCTATGTGCAACACTTGGGTAAAGCTTACAAAGAACCAAAATGTCCAAAAAATATTGAAGAATGTAAGAGTCAATGGAGAGACAATTGTACAACAAGATATCAGTCTAATAGAATTCTGAATCAAGAAGAATTCAATAAGAAGTTCAATAAAAACATCAACTTTCTTGACTATTTGAGTCTTAGAAATACAATTCTTAATCAGTGGTTGAGCGATATTAAGAAAAATGGTGATAGTTTAAATAACTTTGGAAGACAAAAACAACACATAAAAAAGATCTTGGGCCAAAGTAAGATAAGCAAAATTATATATTGGGAATTTATAAAAAGTGAAGAGACAAATATAAAGCACATCACTGGTTGGAACAAAGATCTGAATCTATCACTTAACAAAAAAGACTGGAAAATGATCAATAGAATCAATAAGGTCAGCAATTTTGAACCAAAATTAGCTTCATTCAATTTTAAAATTCTTCATAGATTTTTGGCCACCAACACATATTTGAAAATGTGTGGATTAGCAGAATCGGATCTGTGTACCTTTTGTAAAGTAGAACCAGAGTCAATCTGTCATCTCCTCTATGACTGTAAAGTGATAATGGAACTGATAGTTCTAAGTCATTAAAAAACTGGTTACCAGAGGAATTGTCAGGACTTAGTACAAAACAGAATATTTTAATAGGACCAGTGTGTATAAATGACAGAACAATTATCCTGACAAATATATGGAGTATATTTAAAAGATGTATTATTTTAGCATCTAAGAGAAAAAGTATACAAGACTTTTGCCAGTGATATATTTTTCTGTGCAAGATTTGGTGAGGATTCGCAGGAACCCTCTGAACCCCCTCTCCCTTGAGTAATCATGAATGAAAAATCAACCTTATTAAATAGACTTTTATGTATATATAAAAGATAAATTAATCTGCAAATGTAAAAATGCAAATCTAAATTTTGTAGCTTTTAAAAGTAATGTACAACAATACTTTCAGCTAGAAACTAAAGTTAGAGAAAGGAAAAAGTGAGGCGAGATTTTTTATAACATCTCTTATGAACTTACTGTGAATTTTTAGGATGTTTTTGTATAATTGTATAACACTCCAAAGAATATACATAAAATGTAGAAATTATCAAGTCAATATATGTATTTCGGATAATATCTTATATTATTACTATTATGTTCAGCCTTGTTGAATTGCACTTTGTATTTATTGTAATTGTAATGCTGCTAACCTGATATAAAAACTTATTTCTGTAAAAATTTCTTTTTTAACGGACCGTATGAAAATTGGTTGGTCTGGACCGACAGTCTGGCACTTTAGAAATACCCTGTTCTAATATGATTTACAAGTTTAATACTTTACAATATGTAACAAAAGATTCCTGCAAAATGGCTGCAGCTTTTTGAAGATATCTTCCTTATGAGTCAATCATCCATGGTATTATTCATATTCCTTCAATTAAGATAAAGGATCTTGCAATAATTTATGTTTTCAACAATAACTCTTTCATTCATTGTAAAAACCTTGATCACTTTTACATCCTGTCAAAAGTAATACAAAGTGAGCCCTTGATATTGATGTATAAGATTGTATCTAGAACAATATGACATTCACAATGATCCAATTATAATGAAGAAGATACAGTATGTGATAAACGCCCTGCCTTGAAATGTCTTGACAGTCAAGTGTTCAGGCCAGTACATGTTTTTTTGCAATTGCTTCTTTGAGATGAATTAAGCAATATGTGTAAAATTGAAACTAATTTTCAAATTGACTAAATATTACTATGTTTCAAAATAAGTTTAAAAGTAGTACAGAATGATATCTTATTCATGCAAGTCCAATTATAAAGATAAGGCTGAGTCAAAATGCAAACTTTACTTATTACTTAGTTTCAACAAGAATACTTGTTAGAAAAATCTAAAAATGATTAGCTAGCAAGAGGGACATAACATCATATTTTGGATTTCTTGTGCATTGTTTTAAATAGGATAATATTGTTATAATGTTTATA